TGGGGCCGCCCTCCAGTCGCGTAGTTGTCACGCAATGCCAGTCCCTGGCTGTTACACCTGAGGAAGTCTCAAGCGAAAGCCTCATGTTGGAAAGGAGCCACCATCCTTCGTGCGACTGCATTCTTCAACAGCTGCAGGCAACATCTGAGAAAGGCTACAGCTAGAGCCCCTGTCTTACACAGTAGCCGCCCTTCGAAGGCCCATCCCGCCACTTTGCTTGAATGGTGGGCCAGAAGCCTCTTGGATTCGTCTTGAGTTCTCTTGGGGCGCCTCTTCGGGGCCTCTCGTAGGCCTCTTGGGCGCCTCGTGGGGGCCGTGGGGGGCTTCCAGGCTAGTGGCCCATTCAAGAGCACTCACAATATTCAATGCAGAGAACTCGAGGGGACCTGAAGTCACTCCCCTACGGTACGATGGCGGATAATGAGGCACGTTCTGTGGACTGCGCCGCCGTGGTACAAAGCAGTTGGTATCATGATGGTGACGGTCTGGATCGGTTTGGTCGACCAAGCTTCTTGGGACTGGCTTGGGATGGTGTGTTGGAAAGCTTCTGGGGCCATCTGAACTGGGCCTGCGCTGGGTGGGCTTGGCTGGCTGGCCGTGGCTGGCTGTGCTGAATGTTGGCCAGGCCTGCTGGGCTGGCTTGGCTCCTCCTCCGCCTCCTCCTCCTCCTGTTGGGGGCGCAGGTATGGCGACGGCGAGCTGTCGAGGCCCAGGACGTTCCCACATGTTAAGGATGCCCCCATCCTTTTAAGCCAGGCACCACCATGCTACCAAGCCGATGTGCCCCAGGAGCGAGCGTGTGCGAGTGGAGTGCGTTTCCTGCCGACACCGCTTGCGGCGCGATGTGCACTGGACGCGAGCCAGCACGCTCTGAGCGATGTTCCTCACGAACGCGCTGGCAGCGCGAAGCGCACAGGTGGCGAGCTGGCACGCTCGAAGCGAACTGTCCGCCGAGGTCGCTTTCGATGCGATGTGCGCTGGGAGCCAGCCCGCACCCTCGGAGCGAGTTTGCCGGCGACAACATAGCCACAGCGCCGGGTGACGCGAAGTGCACCGAAAGCGAGCTGGCACGCTCGAAGTGGGCTTCCTACCGACGACGCTGACAGCGCGATATGCAGTGGACGTAAGCCAGCACGCTCGGAGCGACCTTCCTTCCAACGACGTTTGCAGCGCGAAGAGCAGAGGAAGCGAGCTGGCACGCTCGAAGTAAGCTGATTGTCAGCGTCGTTTTCGGTGCGGTGTGCGCCAGGAGCGAGCCAGTACGCTCTTGATGAGCCTTCCGGCAACATATTAATCGTAGCAACATCGTTGGCAACCGATGTGCATCAAAAGCAAGCCAGGTCGCTCGAAGTGTGTCTTCTTGAGGACATGGTTGGCAATATGATGGTCGCCAGGGATTCGCCGTCTCGTTCAGAGCGTGTTTCGCGATAACAACACGCGGGAAGCGAGCACCTTGCTGACAACGTTGGCAAGGCGGTATGCGCCAGACGTGAGCCGTCACGCTCGGGGCGAGCTTAATAGCAACAGCGTTGGCAATGCAACGTGCGCAGGAAGTGAGCCGGCGCACTCGAAGCGAACTTTCCGCCGACTTCTTTTTCAACCCCACGTGTTGCCGGTTGCGAGCGGGCCATCACGCTCGGAGTGGATTTCCAGCCGACAACGTTGGCAACGCGATGTTCACCAGACGCGGTTTGGCACACTCGGAGGGCGCTCCATGCAACAATGTTGGCAAGGCAGTGTGCGCCAGAAGGGTGCCGACACGCTCGCGAGGCTGCGGGGAAGGGCACATACAGTATCGGTCCTTTGGGCAAGCACGCGTTGCATGGAACAAATATGATGCGAGCGGCGCTAAGGCAAGACCCACATGTAAGAGCCACCCGCGAAACAAACAGCGTGCGCGGAGCTGCAATTCGAGAGCCACATGTTTAGAAGCACCCGCTTCCATCCGTGTCAGCGCTGCAAGCTTCATGGCGAATGCGCACGAAGGCCAGAGTCACATGTTGAACATGCTCCGGTCTTCGCCTGTGTGACCGCTGCACCTTTGAAGCTTCAGTGTCATAAGTTCAAAGACAGTCTCAAGCGAGACACCTTAACCCCGCAGGGTCTTTAATGTTGCGCCCCCCCGCTGCGCCCCTCCCTAAGCTCTCGGCGGGGAGAAGAATCTCGTCCCTCTTCCTTCCCCTCCCTCCTCCTCCTCCTCCTCCTCCTCCTCCTCCTCCTCCTCCTCCTCCTCCTCCTCCTCCTCCTCCTCCCTCCTCCTCCTCCTCCTCCTCCTCCTCCTCCTCCTCCTCCTTCCCCTCCTCCTCCTCCTCCTCCTCCTCCTCCTCCTCCTCCTCCTCCTCCTCCTCCTCCCCCCTCCTCTCTCGCCTTCCTGCTTGTTTGTCCTCTGTCCCCTGCTCTCCCCACAAGTTCCACAGGTTCCATTGGTCCCACGCGTTCCACAGGGCCCACAGGTTCCATAAGTCCCACGGGTCTCGTAGGTCTCGCAGGTCCCACAGGTCTCGAGTCCTCGACCTGCTGCGGACGATGGGGATCACAACGATATTCTTGACCGTCCAGGCGACATCGGCACTCCAGGTGGCAGTCCAAACCAGTCTGTCCTCCTCTTCCTCCTCCTCCTCAGAAGCCTCACCGCCGTGCCTGGGCTGCGGGGTCAGAAGCCTCACGGCCGTGCCTGGGTTGTGGGCCAGAAGCCTCGCCGACGTGCCTGAGTCGTGGGTGAGAAGGCTCACCGCCTTGCCTGGGTTGTGGGTCAGCCTCACTGTCGTGGCTGGGCTGGGGGTCAGAAGCCTCACCACCGCAGCCACTGTGGCTCAAAGCCCGGCGTTGTCGTCGTCTTCGTCGTCGTCGCTACCGGAGAATTTTTTGTTCCCATAATTGCTCGCCGTGCTGAATAATCTGGGGTGGTTATTTCTCCCAATCTACAATGCCTCCTGGGCTACCCTGCACGCGGGAGGAATTTTGCATTTCCGCACAAGGTTTGCAAAAGAAATCGATGCATTTCCTATCGAGTCCTCGAGTCGTTTTCGTCGTCGGCATCCTCGTCGTCGTCGCCGTCTTCATCGTCGTCGTCGCCGCCGCCGGATCATTATTGTTCCCACTACGGCGGCGGCATTGGATAAGGAACGTCTTCCTGGGGCCCAGACCCTGGCGCATTCCTTCCTGTTTCAAGGCGAAGTGGGTGGCACACGTTTGGCCGCCCATCGGTCGCGAGACCCTGGATTCCTTATCGAAGGTCTCCTATCTACAACCTCCACCGTACTCTTCGCCGGCCCCAAGAGAGCCCCAAGAGGGCCGAAAGGGGCTCCCAAGAGGCCCCAAGAAAGCGCAGGACCGCCTAAGAGCATTTGAAGATGGCTTCAGATGGCCTCAAGACGACCCAGGGGGCCCCAAGACGGTCCAAGAGGCGCCCAAGATGACCCCAAGAGGGCCTGAGGAGGCCACAAACATAGATTTCCATATGTGTGTGTGTGTGTGTGTGTGTGTGTGTGTGTGTGTGTGTGTGTGTGTGTGTGTGTGTGTGTGTGTGTGTGTGTGTGTGTGTGTGTGTGTGTGTGTGTGTGTGTGTGTGTGTGTGTGTGTGTGTGTGTGTGTGTGTGTGTGTGTGTGTGTGTGTGTGTGTGTGTGTGTGTGTGTGTGTGTGTGTGTGTGTGTGTGTGTGTGTGTGTGTGTGTGTGTGTGTGTGTGTGTGTGTGTGTGTGTGTGTGTGTGTGTGTGTGTGTTAGTGTGTGTGTGTGTGTGTGTGTGTGTGTTTGTGTCTGTGTGTGTGTGTGTGTGTGTGTGTGTGTGTGTTTGTGTTTGTGTGTGTGT